TCCTAACTGAAATTAAGAGATGAAACCGATGTCATTTATTAAAAATATAATTCTCAATCGGTATGCTTTGGTTTCATTACTTCATCTTAATTAGGGAGGGGAGAAATTAATTTTTGAATGAGAAGAACTTGTTCGGAGTTACTGCGCGCTTTGAAAATTCATTCCTCCTCTCCTAATATAGATTAAGAAATGAAACCACTGTCATTTATTGAGAGTATTATTCTTGATCGATACATGTTGCTTTAATTCCCTCTTCGCAATTAGGAAGGGGGGGGGGGAGAAATGAATCTTCCAATCATGGGAGCCCCTCCGGACTCACTCGACGCCGGAGAGCCATTCGGGATTTCTCCACGCGTTCGAAAATTCATTCCTCCGCTCCTACTTGAGATTAAGGAATGAAATCGTTGTCATTTATTGAGAATTCAATTCTCGATCGATCGGCATTGGCTTCAATCCTTCATCTCAATTAGGGTGGAAGAAATGAATTTTCCAATCGGGGGAGTTTCTCCTAGCTCACTCTACGTCGGAGAGCCGTTCGGGGTTTCTCCGCGCTTTTGAAAATTCATTCCTCCGCTCCTAACTGAGATTATGAAATGAAACCGATGTCATTTATTAAAAATGCAATTCTCAATCTGTAGACTTTGGTTTCATTCCTTCATCTCAATTAGGGAGGGGAGAAATTAATTTTTGAATGAGAAGAACTTGTTCGGGGTTACTCCGCGCTTTTGAAAATTCATTCCTCCGCTCCTACTTGAGTAGGATAGGATAGAATTTCCCGAAGATTCCAAAAAGCTTCATTGTTCTTCGTGCATTAAAAATGGGCATCTTCGGGAAACTCCTTGCAATCGCAAGACTTTTACCGATTTTTTTCTCCGTGTGACGTGCGTATAAAAGATCAAAAAATCAATTTAACAATGGGATAAATGGAATGGAGAGAAAAACGTGAATGTCTCGGAAATTAGATGCGATAAAATGGGCCCTTTTCACGTAGACGTACACATATAATTGGACTGAAATTTATAGAAATTTTTAATTTGCAATGACGAAATTCCTTGAAATTTCCGTATTACGGCAACGCGATAAAAATTCCCAATAAGTGTTCCCGGAATTTCCGCGAAAATATTACTGAAACCTACAGACATCATTCCTGAATTCAAGACTTTCCTTTGATTTTCAGGATCATGTCACTGGAAATTTTTTACAAAATGACTCAATTTTAACATTGCTTGCTCATTGGATTTCTGAAATGCAGCTGCCTAAAAAAGACACATCGATTCCTAGGAACAAGGTTTTTTTTTCTCGGTAAATACATACAATAGAGAAATGTCAGAGTGGAATTCCCTGATTTTTTTTCACTCTCGATTAATTTTTTAAAGATTCAAATTGATACTTGATTCATTCACATCGTTCCATTCCATCGGGAGATATTGTCGATTGGAGACAATTTTTTATGGTCACTGAAGGAGACAAACCATTCATCTAAATCTCGCAATAATCTGCGAAAAATCTTATTCATTAATCTATTATTATTGAACTAATCCCATTATGTGTAGATCGCTGGAGAACAACGAAAACGTTCCAACCGTTCAAACGAGTTGGAATGATTTCTCTCTCCTTCTTCTCAATTTTCTTTCTCACTCGCACTCGTTAAGTTTGGCGGAGGACGGGCACGTGCCAACCCGACGGAGACGACAATGAGTGGGAGTGAGCGCGATACATATTCGTTTCTCACTCAGGGGGGGAATAAATATATATAATCGAACATTACCATAGTAAAAAAAAACAAAATCTGCACAATTATTCAATAGAATCACTGGAAAATTATAGAGTTTTCCAGCGACAGTACTGGGATTTTCTATGAATTTTTTGACCTACGTGTTAATAATAAATATGTCGAGAAAAAGGAAAAGACTTTTAGATCATTAGATTCTGCATTCATTATACTATTGATTATAATATGTTCGATTTTACATCCCTGACAATTATTACAAAATGCGAGGAACTACCGTATTGAGAACCCCTGTCCGGTTATCGACAAATTTATGCTCGGGCCCTACCATACCAATACAACAGTTCCGTACGCTCCATCGTAGTCCATGCGCCACCGCTACGAATTTTGCTGTTGAACACTTTACATTGGCCAGAGATTCATTAGCCCTGCTCATCTCCCCTATAATCTCTGCTGGGAGCCTATTCTCGAAATATTTCCGTGCACTGAAGTGGCTTGGTAGGACGAATTGCGTGTAGGCATCATATAGGCGTTCCGTCAACGGAGTCGATTCCGCGCACGAAAAAATTTCGAGAATAGGCCCCCTGCTCATCTCCCCTATAATCGCTGGTTTTCCTTTCTTCTCCATGTTCCCCCATACGCTTTGATAATTGATACTGATACGCTTACACGCTCACTTGGAACCTAACCTGCAAGAATTATTTTGACATATCCAGACCATCCACATCCAGACCAATCCAGACAGTGGATATGGTAAACAACTGAATAAATAACACGTAAACAATGGATAAAATATTGCTATTGAAGGATAAATATGAAGCACCCAGTGTTGAAATGTTGGAAGAGGCACTCAAGCAGCGTCTAATAGCCTTCAAGCGCATGGATAATGAGCAAGATCATCGCTTGATTGGTAAATAAACCGTTGAAAAATTACATTTTTATGGATAGAGGAGGGTGGGGCAATATGGACATCAGATTTAAATAATGGGTTGAATTGGATCAAATCTAATGTTTCTGCTTCATTTGAAGTTTATGAAAATAAACACATTGTCATAAGACTGCGTCATAGGAGTTGTAAGGTAAAGCAAAAACGGGGTAAAATGGACACTTCTTCCTCAATTTTTTAGGTTTCAACAATGTTATTCAATTTCTGAAACTCTAGTCATGACTGCAATTTTCACATTGAAAAAAACTCATTTTTGACTTGTTGTGGGGGATGGTAAACCAAATTGTTCTTTGCTCATTTATCCTCTCCTCCCCCCATTGGTTTATGGTGATTTCCTTTGTTAGTAGAAAAGCAGTCAACTTACAAATTTCGCAAATGGACAAAAGGTCAGTTGTGTAGGGCGTGCAATTGTTCATTGAAAAAAATGAATAAATTTCAAAGTTATTTCAACAGTAAAACAGGAAATTCAAAGCTATTCTATATTTCAAACTTCAATGCAAAATTTCATGGAGTTGAAGTTTATTTGTTAATATCTCTTCCAACTCTAATTTTTCTCTATAAAAAGATACCAACACCATTCCATTGGAAGACTTCTGTTGAAAATTTTTTTGATTAAAAGTTGAATAAGACCAACTTTTTCGAGTGTCCATTTTATCCCACCCTTGAATATTTTTTCTGTCGTGTACTTTGCCAAGAAGCAATTTTTAAAAATTCGATTTTTACAAAGTTTTTGAACGTCCATTTTAGTCTATCCTATACGGATTTGTCAGGTGTCCATATTGCCGAATGAAACAATTTTAAAAAATTTGAATTTTGAAAAAAAAAAATTTTTTTTTTAAACTTTTTGAGTGTCCATTTTACCTTAGATGTCCATATTGCTCTACGTTCCCCTAAGTACTTTCAATTTGTTTCAACCATCTATAGGTAGTTTTTTCTCAATTAGAAATGCATGCAAGTTTTGCTATGGATTTCGTCCTTTTCCATCTTAATATTATTTTGAAAAATTGATTGTTTCGATCATTTCTTATAATATTTGTAACGATCAGGGCAGATACATGTCTTTATATACCTCGAATACTTTTGAACTTGTATACTCATTACAGAAAATGCTGGCAAAATTGATGAACTCGAGAAGAAGAAATTGGAGCTGGAGAAGAGAATTGCTCAAGAGGAAAACAAATCCAGTGTTTTGTTGGCTGATTTAGAAAGACATAATGAGATCATGGTAGAGTAGACTCAAATATTCTTGTGACATGGTTCAACTTACTTTATCAAGTTTAAAATTCATTTTTTCAGAAAGAACGAGAGCATGAAAAAACCAAATTGATCGCAGAGAATCGTCAGAAAGAATCAGAGAAGAATAAAATTATGTCAAAGTGCAAAATACCGAGTGTGACTGATGAGAATACTTTAGAGAATGGACGGAAGAAATTCGAGTATTACAAGAATTTAACTGGTATCAGATGGGACCACCCTATGCTGAAGTCTCTCGTCAAAGGCTGTATCCTTTTTTCTAAAATTTAAACAGAATAGTAAAATTAGAAGAAAATAGGATTTATAACAGTGAGCACAGTTGAGGACTTTCATCTTCCGAGTAAATTTCATTTGTTTCAATGGAAGGTACATGGGTTGATTTGGCTATTAGCTAAGGTCTGAATCATCCCTCAATTGGTCACCATCTGAGGAATTGTCGCAAAAATCATTTTTATTTTTTTAACGTCTATCTACTATTACAAGGCTGAGTGGAAGATTCTGAAAAATAGGGTGAACCGCCTAAGTGTTCGAAGAAATAAGCTCAGTTAGTCTTGACATATATTTAAAAATATATGGGGTATTCTATGCCAAACCAGTGAACGGCTGACCCTCACCCTTTTTTAAGTTGATCTCAATTTTTTCTACGATTGGGGGGCTAGCAAAACTATCTCTCAATTTTTTTCAGATTTTTTCGAAATTCTATTTCCGAGATATGATTTTTTTTTTTCAATAACTCTGGTTCTATTCAACCGATTTTAGTTTATGACGGCTCAAACTTTTCCATTTTCTACCATCTATAAGAAAATTTTTCGTAGTTTTTTTCTAATCTCTAAGTGCTCATAATACAGAATTTTCAAAAAAAAAAATTGAAAAATTTCAATTTTCAAAATTATATCACCATTTATTTTTCTTATTTTTCAAAAATAATTCTTATCATCAAAACAAGTATTTTTAGCTGTCATACAATTTGGATTTCGTCCTGGATCTATTTAATTTTTAATTTTTTCTTCTCGAAATTCCGCGAGTTTGGTCAAAACACTCCAAAATGACTTCGATTATGTGTAAAAAAAATGTAACGTATAAGAATACGTTACATTTCATACGTACGTTCATTTCAAGAATACGTTCATTTCACTTCATACTGTTTATAATGAAAGTTAATCAACGCCATTTTGGGGTATACTGAATTTTGCCAAAGAAATAACCTCGATCAGAGTGGTGGGGAGCACGAGCCTAAGTGGGGATTTGGATAGAGTGGGGGTATACGACTGAGGTTACTCCTTTGGCAAGAAGCACCTTATGTTGACCAAAGTCGTGGAATTTCGAGATGAAAAAATTGCAAATCAGTCAGGTCATACGTTCTGTTGTTGAAGAGTTTTTAAAAATTATGGAGTCTGCTAGAGCGATTCGAACAAAAACACCAAAATCGTACGAAGTTTGAAATTTCTGTCTCGATTATTTTTCAAGTTATCGTGGCAACAAGCGATTTAGTCGAAAAAATGACAATAAAACTCAATTTTCCATAGCGAGGTGATTAAATTTCCATGTCTCGAGATAGGTATCATCGTGACGAATATTAAAAAAAAAAAAGAAATTGGTCCAGTCATTCCGGAGATATTTGCAAAAAACGATTTTTGAGAAATCTCTATATCTCAAGAACTACTGAACCGATCGGGCTGAAATTTAGCACAGATTTGTGTTTCATTAGTTCCAACTATGAGCCAAAATTTCAGCTTTTTTGTATGATTATATCGGATTTATTAACACACTTCTGGACAAACACACACATACACACATCATATCTCGACGTTTCAGACCACCCTGAGTCATGTCGAAGCAAAATTGGAGAATCGACAAAAATTGCATTTTTAAGACGTCCATTCGGAAGCAAACAAGAAGTGGAATATCTCAAGAACTACTAGACCGATATCGCCCAACCGAAATATCAACCTTTGGGATCATAAGAGCTACTTCCCCACCAAATTTCAAACTCCTATCTCAATTTTTCCTCAAGTTATCGTGCGAACAATGAATTTAAGGACAAAATCGAAAATGGTCAATATCTCGGAAACTTCGTATGGGCGACTATGCATATTCCGATTGATCTAGATAGAAGACGCTGAGATGACGTAAGGAAAAATTGTCAAACAGAAAATCTTGTTTTATAGCTTCACCTCTGAATTAAGTGCTGTGCTGGGTTATGATATTCAGGAGATTTAATTGTTACTAATAGCGCTTTTGTTGGCGCGTTTTTTTTCCAAGTTGTCTGGGTATGTTTTTTCTTGAAACGAATTTTTTTGTTTTGGATTTTGACGTGTTTCTTGGGGACTGAAATAACTTTCAACTCCTCACCCCCCCTTGTCTGATAGGTTTCAATTGTTTTATAGAAATTTCAATTCCCATGAAACACGTCAAAATTGAGAACAATAAAAGTCGTTTCAAAGAAACACACTCGGATAAGTTTGAAAAAAAACGTCATGAAAAGCGCTGTAATGAGAGAATGAATAAATCAAAGATGAAGGTCATTTTCCTGGATTTTATTCATTTTTTGAAATATATACGTAGTAAATAGGTAAATAGGAACACGGTTGGTGTTCCATCATAGATTACAAGAGACTTTTTTCTTACCCATTTAAATTCGATGAATTACTCTCAAATAATGGACTTTTTTTTTATTGATATGTCGTAACTCTTACTGGGTTATTTACAAAACATTTTAAACAAATTTGTTACAATTTGAGAATAGTTAGCATTTGATTGTCTATAGTTACATTAGATTCTAATTTGACATGTTTTTATGAATTTATGGATTATTTTGAGAGGCTCCAGGTTCGTTGACGCTAGGAATGCATTTATGGTGTACGGTCTTTGGTATTTGAGTTTAATTAGCTTGGATATCATGAGATCTCCTTCGCTATTGGGATACTGGGGGCAGTTCCATAATACGTGATTATATCTTGTTCATCAGCTCCACAAGTGCATTCGGGGCTGTCAACGATACCTATCCGCTCCAGAGATTTATTGACGTGATAGTGGTCTGATCTGGCCCTATTTACCCAAATTACAAGCTCCCTCGGGAGCTTACTTCCTAGGTACCAGGGATCTGACTTGTTTTTTTCCAGCAGTTTCGGAAATACAATTTTCCTTTTGGTTTTACTTTACATTCAGCCTGCGCTTTCATGAAGTCTCGAGTGCTGAGTTATCCTTCGAGTTTGAAGCTAGCTTTGAAGTCAGTAGAAGGGATTTTGAGTTGACTGGTACAAGCCTCTTTAGTATTTTTGGCTGGGGTGTCAGCCCTCTCATGGCCCTCGATGGCCCTGTGCGCCGGAATCCAGCGGAAGGTGGTTTCTGTGTTGAACGGGTTATTTTCAGTTATAAAACCCCGAGACCTTAAAAATTATCGAAATATTTCCCGATAGTTTCGTTGTAAACAAATGAAAGTGTCAATTTCTCCAGGCTAAAAATCTCGAGTGCGAAGCACGAGGGATTTTTCTGCAAAACTTGATACTTTTGTTTATTTGCACGGAAGCTTGAGGGAAATATTTGATGAATTTTGAAGATCAAGGGGTATTCGGAGGACAATTTCTTCAATTCGGATTTTCGCCGATCAGGGTACGGTGTTCGGGCTTACGGGATACATTTCACCAAAATGTGAGGAATCTCTGTCAAATTCGTAGAAAACAATTGACAGGCTACAGGGAAATTATCAGTAGTAATACCACGAGACCTCCAAAATTAAAAGCTCGTAAAAAACTAAAAAAAATTGAAGCTCGTGTGGTATTCGGGGGATTATTTTTCCAATCCAAATCTCGGGCAATATAATTGGATTATATTGGACTCACAATTGAGAAACGAAAATTGTATAATTAACACAATGACACAATTGAATTCAATCTGTCAGTTTGACGAGGGGTTGATTCGATTGCATGATGTTTTGTTTTTTATATAGCAACTACCAGAGAAAATTATCAAAAATGATCAGTTGAAAACCCTGTAGCTTGTACCACGTGATGTCGAATGGGCCAATTATTTTGCCCGATATTTGGGTTGGAAAAATAATCAGTAGTAATATCCCGAGAGCTTCAAAATTATCGGGTATTTACCGCTAGCTTCGTTGCAAACAAACGAGAGTGTCAAATCTGTCGGTTGAAAAATCCGGAGCGCGAAGCGCGAGGGATTTTCCTACAAAACTTGACACGATCATTTGTTTGCAGGGAAGGTTGAGGGAAATACCGGATGCATTTTGAAGCTCGAGGGGTATTTGGAGGAATATTTCCTCCATCGGAATTTCGGTCACTGGAGGGCCGCATTTGATGTCAATGTGGTACAACCTACACTTTCGCATTTCAATTATTTTGTTTATTCTCCCTTAGCAACGTGCCGTGGTTTTACCAAATTTTACCGATATAAAACCGTGTATGTTGTACCACGTGATATCAAATGCGGCCCGCCTATTGGCCGAGATTCCGATGAGGTAAATACTCAGTGTGAAACGTGTCACGTGATCCCGAATACCGCACTCTGATTGGTTAAAATCAGAATTGAGGAAATTGTCCATGAAATTTCGATATTTTTTCTTCGCGTCTAGAACATGCGGGTTTATATGTGGGTGCCCATTTATGGATTCCAGACTTTGTAGGGCACTAAGGGAATCGGAGAGAATGAGGTGACTGGTTTCCTTGTGTTTACTAGCTATGTCTGTAGTGCCAGATCAAGGGCGATGCACTCCGAGGTGTAGACAGAACAGTGAGTATTCAGAATAATTGCGTTGTTAATGCCTAGGCCGGGGCAATGACAGGCGGCTCCTGCATACTCTGCGTCCAGTTTTTCGCTACCATCAGTGTAGATTACGTTTCAGTCTTGGAAGTTGCTCCAGAGTTCTTGGTTCAGAGCGTCATTTGGGACTGGGAGTGATTGTAAGGCCATTCCGATGATATTGGGTGTCTTTATGGAATTGATGAGGGTGTTATATTCGTGTGTGAATATGTCAAAGTTTGTGTTGCTTATCAGGGTTTCTTCAAGGGGGGGGGGTAGAACTTTCCTAATGCATTTCGTGATGAGTTTGTCTCTCACCAGGATTTTCGTCCTTTTTTCTTTAAAAATAAGGGAAATCCTGGCATAAACTTGGGTGGATTGATTGCTAAGGACTTTTATCAGGTATGACTTACGGAGGAATGGTGCGCGATCATGAATTGTCATAAGTTTGGACTCTCCTATTAAAACATTGGTTGCTGTACTCCGCCTATAACCCAGCGCCAATCGGATGGCCGCGTGTTGGATGGATTTGAGTTTTACCTGGTAATTTTTGGTGCTTGAAAAGTAGGCAAATAGACCGTAATCCATTATGGAGCATATGTATAAGTTTTGTATAGTATGATCAATGTTTCAGGGTCTTCCCCACCAGGTTATACGTAGGAATTTTATGATATTCAGAGCTTTGAGACATCGCTGCTGTACTATGGATGTTTGGTGATTAAAAGTTAATTTTTGATCAAAATGGATGTTTAAAAATTTCGCGGTGGGTGAGGAGGCTGCCTGGTGTATATCTATTCTGATCTTAGTATTTTCTGATGGTGAGACTTTGCGACTGAAGCGCAGGGCAACTGTTTTTTCTGGAGCGATGTTTAGACCTAGTGCCCTCAAGTTGGAAATAAGTTGATCAATTGAATTTTCTAGAATGGCTTTATCTGCTTTGTAGATCGAAATACGGATGAATAAGGCTATGTCATCGGCGAATAGTGATGCATTAACTCTGTGGTGGAGTTTCTTCGAAATGTTTCTGGCGTAAAGTGTGTACAGGAGTGAAGAAAGTACTCCACCCTGAGGCAGACCTTTGTAAGTGAATTTGGTGTTGTTTGTTAGAGTGTCGCAGTGAATTATTCATTTACACGTGAGGAATTTTATGAAATGGATGATGGTATTGGAGCAACCGATTTCGGCGAGAATATCAGGCAGGGTGTCGCCAACGACATTGTCGAAAGCGTTCGTGACATCTAGAAAAATGGCAAGTGTGTGTTCCTGGTCGCGGAAGGAGTCCTCGACATATCGAGTGAGTGACCAGGTTGTCTCTATATGACAGACCCGGTCTGAACCCTGTTTGTGCTGGAGAAATGTAATTATTGTGGCTCACCCACCACTGTAGTCTATTTCATAGTTGCCAGACTTGGCGACTTGTCGCCAAAATATCTGGCACCATAGTTCAACTGAAAAATATTGAAATAAATCAATAATAATTAGAAAAATACCGTTAGAAGGGCGGCGGTGGGTCATCCGACGTTAAAGTGAATCAAATTCGACGGAAAGTGACGGAATTCCCGTAGCTCAGTAGGTAGAGTACCAGACCTTTATACAGATCGGCTCACACCAATTACCATAATCGAGTTAGCAACAAATATCTATACGCAAGGGCTGAAATCACAAGAATAGACAATTTCATCCTAACTTTATCTAGAGATTATTTCGACAAAATCAAATACATAAATAATGAAACAATTAACAAGCTGGACGAGTTTCCAGACGACGAGGCGATTGGCAGAGCCAGGTGTGGGAATGTAAAACCCCAATATTTTGTATACTATGATAAGATTGGTTTGTTTCAAGACGTGTATAACAAACCAATCCTATTTCATGTAAAAAGACACAAAAGAAACAAAAAAAAATCCCCATAGACGAGTTCATGAACAGGGAAATGATTTACTCCAGGGACATACCCCAAGTCGACACCAATAATTTCTCAAAAATTAATAAGAAATATTGGTGGATAGAAGAAAATGACACATTTATAAGAGCGCTTAAAAATCGAGAAGAGAGATTTCGAGCACAAAATAGGAATTATAATAGTCAAAATAGATATAGGAGGAACAACTACAGACCTCCATAAATCCATACAATTCGAACGAAAAAAAAAAGAGAAGAAAAAGTCATAATAACAATAAAGAATGAACATAAAATCAAAAAATAAACCATAATTTAGTACTATAGCCCACAAGGAACAATGTTGTTAATTCTAATAAAAGTAATTAGAAATATCAAATACACAGAACATGCTAGAAAAGCATCATTAATATTAAGAATAGAGTAAGCAATTACAATCAACACAACCCTCATGCCAATAAAGAAGCGCTTTTTTTTTACTGTCACATAAAGGCAAACATGAAGTACCAACACTTCACCCCTTTTTTTTAAGCTCAATACAAATCTAAATATAAAGTAAACGAATTAATCGTGCAAGGAATACCCATAACTCATAACAAATACAATGTAAACACAGATATTATTCAAACACGAGAGTCAACTAGTTTCGACCAAAGTTTGCTCTAAAAACAAAATAACACACATTCATTTTTTTTAGACTAGTTTTTATAAATGTAGATACTGTATATATGTAAATAACGTTGTGACTCATAATAAAAACATTGTTAAAAAAAAAGTAGAGTACCAGACCGGTAATCTGAAGGTCGCGAGTTCAAATCTCGCTCGGGCATTCCTCAATTTTTTCCGAAATTGATTCACAAATATCATAGTTGTCAGACTTGGCGACTTGTCGCCAAAATATCTGCCAACACATATCTATTTTTCACTATAGTTTCATATAGTTTGAATACACAGGAGGTGAGTGCGACAGGTCTGACTCCGGAGTTATTGGCTTTGGGTATGAAGTGTAGGTAGGAGTTCTTTCATTCAGGTGGGAATTCTCCTGTTCGATGGAATGCATTGAAAATGTCTAGGAGTATCAGTTATAGCTGTGTCGGTAGTTTTTTCAATAGAGTGTAGTCAATACCATCTAGCCCCTGTGCTGAGTGGTTGTTTTTGCGCTGTAGAGAAAAGTTAAATACGTCAAAAGTGAATGGTTGGTCAAAGAGGTGATTGGGGGTGGATTCCGGAACATCATGGAGGTTGGTGGGACATCCGTCTAGGCTTAGCTTTCTCATGGATTGTGCTATCTTCTTTTAAGTCTCGACATGATTTCTGGAAGTATTAGTTTTAGTGCTTATCCATGCGTTATTAAGCACTTTACACGACCTCCAAAGGTATGTGGGGTTTGTTCTTGCGGTTAAGCTCTGTACATAATTAATAAAACATTGTTTCTTTTTCCTTTTAAATGATTTTCGGGTGACGGCGACTGATTTTTTATAGTCTATTAGATTGCTAAACCTTTTCGAGTATTTTCACTTTTTGTAAGCGGCTTTACTAAGTCTATACACCTTGGAACATTCGGAGTCCCACCATTTGACAGGGTTTCTGTGTATTCTGGCTGGTACCGCCTTTCTTCTCAAAGAGCATTTGGTCACATTGGAAATACAAACCTCTATGAGGTATTTATATTTGTCTATTGGCTTTTGATATTCGTCTCTTATTTGTTTCCAGTGTTTGAGTTTGAGATCTCTCTTCGTTGTACGATAACATACTAACAGGTTAATTATTGGTTGTACATTGTTTATTTCTATGGCGGCCAGTTCGATGGAGGGGTGAGGATTCATGATATTTTAGTACGGTTTATATGATAGATGGTTTTTAACAAGTATTATAATACCACCGCCTTCACTGATTCTATCTACTCGATGTTTGAAAACCTGAGAATTTGTAGGGCCGCGTGTCCCAGTGGTTGATTTTTGTCTCGACGCCGATAAAGATGATAAGGTTCTGTAGTGCGTGTTCGATGGCCTCTCGGTGGCTGTTGATTCCTCTGATGTTCCAGAACATAATTTTCAGATTGCAATCAGTGGTGGGTTGTAAGGGTTGTTGTTATGTTTGTTGAATGGCCATAATTTTGGTTGTAACTGCGAGTTGCAGGAGGCAGATGTCAGGTACCCGTCGTCCTCTGGGTTGTCTGCAATCTCGTCGAGTCTTCTTACTACTCGAGTTATTCTTGCTTTAAATGTGATGTCGTCAATGGAAATTTGAAGTATTCTCAGGGAATCGGTGACCTTGGCAGGGTCCAACTGTAACTCTATCAGTTGACGAAGGTTTTTTGTGACATAGGTTCGATCCATGAAACTTATAAAGCCTTTGTAATCGAAGCAGAAGTCTTTGGGGTGATGTTCTATTCGTCTGCCTGCTCGTTTCGAGTCCTCTCGCATGAACTTGGGGGTCAACAGGCGTGTTTTCCTTGTTTTTTTCGGTCTTTGTATCGGGTATACAAATTCGTCGTGGTCATTTTCAGGCTCATTATTACGGGTGTTCATGGGTTCGATCAAACCTTGAGAGGGTTGTCTCTTTGTATTCTTGGTGCCGTCAAGTTCCATGTGCACTGATGTTGTAACAACCAGATTATCTTTTGTGGCTTCATTGTTGTGATCTCGTATCTTTAATTCAGTGTTTACTTTTGTTTGGGTGTTACCGTTCTCCTCTAATTCGTTCATTCCTTGTGTAGGAAAGTTTGATAGTGAGGAGAGGGTACCACCGGTTTGATGCTGTGACAGTCTCAAAACCATGTTGGGTCTTGATGTAGAGAGCTGGGGACAATTCTTTGCAATGTGTTGTTTTGTTGCATTTGTAACAGGCGTTATTATCCACCGAGGTGGTGATCATGTACTGTATGTTCTGCTGAATGACTTTGATGTTCTCTGGTATAATCCTCGCTACCAAAGAAGGATACTGGCTGGCTCCCCCCGCTCTTTCAAATTTAGCTTCGACTCAATTTCCCCCACCACTCAAGGCCATCATCATTCTTTCTTGGCGAGAACTATAGCTTCAGCCTGTCTCCCTCTTTGATTCTTACTTATTTCCTTGCGCTTGCTACGGTGTATCCTTCCTTTTTCAGACTCAGGTTGAGTGTGGAATCTTTTGTAGTGGGATCAATGTTTAGATTTTTCAGGGCTTGCTCGATGGCCACGTGGGGAATTTTTGGGGAGACGTTGGAGAGAATAACTTTCATCGTTTTGGCTTTTTCTGGTGAGATGTTAAGGCTGTGGTCACCAATGAATGGGTTCGTAGCTGGAAATGCGAGCTTGTTTACCTGGAATACCGATAACTCCAAGAATATTCTTTGATCCCACAACGTCCTCAATGGCATATGTATTGTAACATGATAAAAATCATGGTCTGTTCCTCGCCTGAACTGACCATGGTTCATTGGGGGGGGGGGGAATTAGTATTTCAATTCCAACGAGGAGTCGGATCACCCAAGGCCACTTTTACAATTTCATTTTCTTTTATTTACTCTGTTTTTTTTCTCTATCTTTCTAATTCTAACGCTATTGCGCTCACCGCGGGTTACGCGTGAGCTTCGTTACGAGGGGAGTGGAGCGGAGCATCGGGGGGCCTGTTCTCGAAATACTTCCGTGTGCGGAATCGACTCCTTGACGGAACGCCTATATGATTCCTATACGCAATTCGTCTACGAAGCCACTATCATGCACGGAAATATTTCGAGAATAGGCCCCCAGCAGGAAGGGGCTATGAAGTCGGCAGATGACGAGTGGGCACACCTACACCGTGGGCACGCACACACCGAGTCTGGGAGACTCACACCACCGTATGTGCGGGAGACGATAGATGCACGCCAGCAGGTAACTCAGGCCTGTACGTATGATCCCCACTACTTCACCGATGTTTCTGTGGCGTAAGGCCACTGCATAAAAAAACTCATGCTGCAGCATGAAGGAAGCGACGGATTATGCTGGCTCCTGCGCCATTCAACGTGGATTACCATCACCAACCGCGAGGCGCAAGTCCCAATTCTCTGGGACCAGGAATTTATAAATTACAATAATTTAAATTTCACAATTTGAGCGCGGATTCTCCGCACTATGATCGTAAGATTAGGGTGGGGGTAGGAGAGAATTTCGATGTTCCTCGGGGTGATGTATTGCCCCGACGAATGACTCTTCGTTGGGATTTAGTCCAGTAAAGTTGCTCTGCGCAATTTAGTCTTTTTATGCTATTAAAGCTTTCTTGGAATAATAAAAATTGTCTTTTGCTATGGTGCCTGAATTTTTCGGCCTACATTCCGATATCGCCGTTGTACTGAGGGCCCAGACGAGTTTATCCTGGAATTTTTCGCAGTTCAAACGGTAAGCGTAATCAAATTTTGTGAGTGCATGCGTGTCCCGCATGGAAAAAAATATGAGCCAAAACTTACAAGTGAGATGTAGTGATTTTGCCGGAATTATATCTTGAATATAACCGGCTTGTATACCAGGTATATTCTGGGTATACCGGTGGCATATATGTACACACGTATATCCAACATATGTCTCAAATATTGCATTTTTTGCCAGAAAGTATACCACATATAAGCGGATATAAGTAACATATATTTCTGTATATATATTTTTTCCATGTGGGGTTCTACAAAATCTTTTCTCCGGTCGCCATTTTGGCTCCGTTTAAGTTTCAGCATTCGAACCTTTGCCTTCGGGACGCGGCACTCAGTGGTCTTTGACCCAAATTCTTTATTTTTGCTTCCGAATGGAAGCCTTGTAATCGATGATTTTTACGATCTCGTAATTTCGCTTGGAAATGATGTAGAATATCATGAAACGTGAAAATATGATGTATTTAGAAACTGTATGTATGTATGTATGTCAGAATGTGTATGCCGATTTTTCGGAAATTTTTTATAAATCCCCCCGAAAAAAGGACTAAAGTTTGAGCTAAAAATCTGAAATTTTGTCGGATAATTGGTATTACTTCGGAGCATTTGTGGGCGAAAGTTCAGCTGAAGGTACTTCCGCAGTAGATATACTTGGTGAAAATTTCGAAATGGTATAAAGACGCAATATTTGGATCATATGTTGTTAACCACATTAAAAAGATATTCCCAAAATTTCAAGTCGCTGGTCCACCCCATTTTTGAGATATGCATCGCCAAACATTCAATTTTTGTTTTTTCCATTTTTGACGATGTATATCTCGAAAATGGGGTTGACAAGGTACTTGAAATTTTGGGAATAGTTTTTGAATGTGCTCAACAACATATGATCCAAATATTGTGTCGTTATACCATTTCGAAATTTTCACCAAGTATACTTACTGCGGAAGTTCCTTAATCGGCCCAGTAGTTTTTGAGATATAGCAATTTCTCAAAAATCTTTTTTCCTTAATATATAAACTACGTGACCGAATTGAAGTTTTTTGATGGGAAAGTATTCCTTACGATAATATCTATTGAATGAAATCAAAATATTGCTACGTAACTAGGGTCACTTTAGTAATAATCGGCATTTTTTATTTTTACTAGGAAATCGTTGTGGAAATGATAACTCGCTGAAAATTCAAGATAGGAAGTTGAAATTTGATAGGATTGTAGCTCTTATGATACTACAGAACTGTATTGTTCACGAGCTGAATCGGATAAGTAGTTTAGAAGATATTCAACTTTTTGTGAAAAACTGTTATGCTTAATACCTCCTAAACTACTGGGCCGATTCACTTTTTTTTCAAAATATTTGTCACGATATCTTCTATCAAGATCAATCAAAATATGTATACCCGCCGATACAAAGTTTTCGAGATATCAGCGTTTTTCTAATTTTTTCATTTTAAAGTTAATGTGGTGTCCATAATATGCGTCAAGCTTGGACCTGACATCTGAGATTCTGGGGACTAATTTGTATTATGAGCCCACAGTTATGTATAAAATTTTGTGTCAATCGATTCAGTACATCCGGGCATAGAGCAATTTATCCAGAAATCTTTTTTTCTAAAAAATTACACATTGTCATTTTATCAACGATTTTCGTCTCTGTATGACTTAAAAAGTCATAACAACAGTTTATGGTATTTTGTATTTGATGAAATGTCATAGCTATGACAAATGCAGAAGTTAAAATTTGGTAAAATTGTAGCTCTTATGACATTATAGGATGAAATTGTATAGCTCTAACAGAGTCAGAGGTCGGTGTGGTTTATTCCCCTCACCAATATGAATAGCTTTTTGAGTAGTTATCATCTGCAAAATTGCACGGATCCATTCGGAAGCTTATTACCAATGGAATTGGTAGAAAAAAAATGTAAATGTCACATGGCTGCTGCCAAAAAGGCTTACAACCCTGCTTATTTTTAATATTGAACATTTATCTTATTCATCTGTCTTCTCACCGATTATTCGGATTTTGTTATTTGGGGAATTTTGTTCTTTTTATTCGTGTGGCCTTCGCGTCGTCGTGCTTCGGGTGATTCTCGCGTGCGTTCGGCATCTTCGACGCCCCCGAATAATAATACTTAATAATTAATATTGACTCTATTTGCTTTTGAAATTAATATTCTTTAATTGGAGTACCTTGTATTGCACTAATTATGACACACCTTGATCGTCATTTGGAAATAACTCATCACTAGAAGATTTTTCTTGGACTCGAGACTGGTTTGTTACTTGAGCAAAGGATAGTGGAACTTGGTTGTGTGTGGATTGCTGGGTCTGGGTGTCCATCAGACTTTTATCGTTGTTTTTCTATGCTTTTTTGACTTTTCCATTATCACAGGGGATTATGAGATGGAAGACTTGTTCAGAGTTGCCCCTGATGGGCTAAACTCGATGTAAATTTGACTGTGTCAACGCTGTTGGTTTACTGTATGCACTGTAAACGGTTCGCGTAGCGAGACCGAAACACGTCTTGTCTTTACGAAAGTTCGAACGAGATTCAAATAATGGACTTAGTAGTTCGAAAATTGAGTGCACTGAACCGGTATTTTTAATATTTTCATCATTCTATGCTTGTAAGAAGCGAAGGGGTAATGAACACAATTGAATATTCTCAATTTGATCGTCCCTGATTCTGAGCATTCAAGAAGGTTCTTTAACTGAGCTCATGTTATTGATTGTCACAATGGAGAAAACAATATATGAATATAAAAGTCCTTAAGAAATTCTATAGATGTTACAAACAAACAAGACTACATTCATCCATTTTTATTTGACTTGGATGACACAAATTTGGAAATGAAATTGTGGGAAGAAATTTCCAGAAGCACTGCTGCAAGAAAATGCAATTAAACTGGAATTTCATGTACCATCCAAATGTATTTGACAATTTTGACAATTTACTAATAAAAATCACTTGATATGCACTTTTCGTATGGTTACGAAGTATTAATAATTTTTTAAATTATTTTAGTAAATATTATTATTATTATGTTGTTTTATTTTATTTTATTTCCATTTCCGTTTTCACAATTAGATTAATTGAATTTTATTCATTCTTATTCTTAGTTTTGAGGCTTTCGCGGCCTTGATTAATGAAATCTTTGGCTTCCGGATGGATGCCGCGTTTGGATTCAGCGTTGCGCCGACGTTTCGCAAACATTGCAGTCTGCATCTTCAGGGCTATGAGCTCCGATATCGGAGCTCATAGCCCTGAAGATGCAGACTGCAATGTTTGCGAAACGTCGGCGCAACGCTGAATCCAAACGCGGCATCCATCCGGAAGCCAAAGATTTCATTAATCAAGGCCGCGAAAGCCTCAAAACTAAGAATAAGAATGAATAAAATTCAATTAATCTAATTGTGAAAACGGAAATGGAAATAAAATAAAATAAAACAACATAATAATAATAATATTTACTAAAATAATTTAAAAAATTATTAATACTTCGTAACCATACGAAAAGTGCATATCAAGTGATTTTTATTAGTAAATTGTCAAAATTGTCAAATACATTTGGATGGTACATGAAATTCCAGTTTAATTGCATTTTCTTGCAGCAGTGCTTCTGGAAATTTCTTCCCACAATTTCATTTCCAAATTTGTGTCATCCAAGTCAAATAAAAATGGATGAATGTAGTCTTGTTTGTTTGTAACATCTATAGAATTTCTTAAGGACTTTTATATTCATATATTGTTTTCTCCATTGTGACAATCAATAACATGAGCTCAGTTAAAGAACCTTCTTGAATGCTCAGAATCAGGGACGATCAAATTGAGAATATTCAATTGTGTTCATTACCCCTTCGCTTCTTACAAGCATAGAATGATGAAAATATTAAAAATACCGGTTCAGTGCACTCAATTTTCGAACTACTAAGTCCATTATTTGAATCTCGTTCGAACTTTCGTAAAGACAAGACGTGTTTCGGTCTCGCTACGCGAACCGTTTACAGTGCATACAGTAAACCAACAGCGTTGACACAGTCAAATTTACATCGAGTTTAGCCCATCAGGGGCAACTCTGAACAAGTCTTCCATCTCATAATCCCCTGTGATAATGGAAAAGTCAAAAAAGCATAGAAAAACAACGATAAAAGTCTGATGGACACCCAGACCCAGCAATCCACACACAACCAAGTTCCACTATCCTTTGCTCAAGTAACAAACCAGTCTCGAGTCCAAGAAAAATCTTCTAGTGATGAGTTATTTCCAAATGACGATCAAGGTGTGTCATAATTAGTGCAATACAAGGTACTCCAATTAAAGAATATTAATTTCAAAAGCAAATAGAGTCAATATTAATTATTAAGTATTATTATTCGGGGGCGTCGAAGATGCCGAACGCACGCGAGAATCACCCGAAGCACGACGACGCGAAGGCCACACGAATAAAAAGAACAAAATTCCCCAAATAACAAAATCCGAATAATCGGTGAGAAGACAGATGAATAAGATAAATGTTCAATATTAAAAATAAGCAGGGTTGTAAGCCTTTTTGGCAGCAGCCATGTGACATTTACATTTTTTTTCTACCAATTCCATTGGTAATAAGCTTCCGAATGGATCCGTGCAATTTTGCAGATGATAACTACTCAAAAAGCTATTCATATTGGTGAGGGGAATAAACCACACCGACCTCTGACTCTGTTAGAGCTATACAATTTCATCCTATAATGTCATAAGAGCTACAATTTTACCAAATTTTAACTTCTGCATTTGTCATAGCTATGACATTTCATCAAATACAAAATACCATAAACTGTTGTTATGACTTTTTAAGTC